CATTTTTGACAGATTTGTAAACAAAATTTAATTATAATTCTTGGTTTTAAAAATCTCTCAAAAATCTCTCAAAAATAAAATATTTTTCTGAAACTTTATTTGAAAAATATTAGCTGATTTAAAGTTTAATTAATCTGATTTGAAAAAAATATTATTTACTTTAATTTTAAAATAACAGTAAAATGAATTTAATTTTTAATTGCACTACCGTTTGTAGTGCAATTAAGTGCTTGTCAACACATTGTAAATCACTTGGTGAGGTGCTGACACTTATTGTTCTAAGGAGACCTTATCTGTTAAAACATAATTTAGGAAAATGTTGGATGAATGCTTTTCTATATAATTTTTAAGTACTCAGTAATCTCAAAAATGTTGGAAAAATGTTGGAAAAATGTTCTCCATAAACTAATTTTAGGAACATTGAATTTAAATTTACAATAGTCATTGTTCTTATTTTCTGATTATGTCATGCATAGTCACCATACTTTCAAAACGGGCATTTTATGTATAAATAAAAAATAAAAAAATAAAAAAAAAAGACTATTAGATTAAAACGACTTTTTTCGATTTCGTAAATGTAGTTTTCACTTAACAATATCACCCAACTTCCTTGAAAATGCAGAATTTTAAATGGTTTAAATTATTTAATTAAAATTTTTACAAAAAATGAAAACAATTCTTGCAAAAATTAATTATTCATAAAAAAAAAAACAAAAACAAAAAACTTACTTCTAAAAACAATAGTGTTCTTAATAAATCATATTTATAAAAGCAATTAAAAGCTTTTATAAATAAATGAAGTCGTAGTTTTATTGCATTTTTTATTTTACGATTCAGAACAGATTTTCTGTGACTGGGTTAACTGTTTTACAAAAAAAAAAAAAGATTTATATTCTCTAAGGAGCCCTGCTTTTAACTAATAAAACACATTTTTACCCTAAAATTTAATTTCTCAAAATTTTATGAAATTAAATAGTTTGAGTTTAACATGTATAAAAAAAACAAAAACATTTTATTGAAAATAGTTATCATTAGTACATAAATACCTTCCTTGACTTTCTATGACCTTATACCAACATTCCAGAAATTTTAGAATTCCATCTTGGTAAAACAACTTTTGTTTTAATACAACAAAATTGTCTATAAAAATTGGAACATTGAAATAAAAAATAAAAAACTGCATTGACCAAAACAAATGATAATCCAATGACATTGAATTTTTTCACACCATTACAGACTTTTTCATCAACAAAGGCAATATGTGAATGTGAGGCACCATGCAGCAGTATGACTTTCTATTTTTGTCCTGCAAATGGCATTTTTGAAGGTGATGACTGCAACATTCTGCAGAAACAGTTTTATCAAGTCTCAGAACAGCTTTTATATCTCATAAAATACAAAGCAATAAGTTTTTGCCAAAAGGGTTAGATTTTCTTGTATTTCAATACCGAGAAGAGCTATCACTTTCAAATTCTTGTGATCTACCACTACATAGCCTGTCCAGTGAAATTCTATGTGAAATTCACCTTTCTTGAACTTTACAAATCATTGACACAGATTCCAACTGAAGTTCTCCAGAGGCTCCATTAATTTGATTCAACTTCTATCTTACCCAACTTGAAAAGGAACATGTAATTAGGTACCACCACGAGATCGCTAAAAAAAAAAAGAGCATAGCATGAAGAAAAAGACGGCAAACTTGTTGAAAACAAAATTTTATCATCTAAATGTTTATTAAGAGGAAAGATCAAAGTATTTTGGGGGTATTTTTTTTTACATTTTTTTTAATTGTTCCTAGCACATCCGAAATTTTCGTGAAAAAATCTTTTTTTTTTTTGAGTCAGCAAAATTGACCATTTTTTCCATTTTATAAAAAAAACTGAAAATCTCCCATTGAAATTCTTTTAAATATCAATTATAATTTTTTTAAAAACTTATTTTAAGAAAATCAGAAATTATGTTTATTTAAAATATTTTGAACCAAGCTTAACTTAGCTTAGCTTCTGCACTGAAAAGATGTAATTTGAAAATAAAACAAAGCAGGTCATAAACTTTTGCATCACTTGACAGTTGATGAATGACATTGACAGATTCCGTGAGGATAATTTGTTCTATGGAAGGAGAAAAGTGAAATTATTTACATTTAAGTGGACAAATTATTTACTTCGTTATTTTTAAGGAAAACTTTCAGCACTCTAATTTTTGTTTTTTGTACTTAGCTTTCACCTTTACGTTTATGATGCTTTATGGAAAATATATTATAAAGAAATTAAAATAAGACTGTTAAGAGTGAGATTAAATTTCATATTTCATAAGAAAGGTATCTAATTTATAGGTTCCTTTCTTATGAAATTTTATCAGAAGTGTACATAAAATACTATAATTTTATGTACATTTATTACATTTTGCTGTGTTATTTGTAATGGAAATCCATTCATTTTATTATTAATTTTGATATTTCAAATATGGAAAAATGTCATAACTGAGATTAATATAAAAATAAGATCATATAAATTTCATAAGATGATACTGATACTTGTAGGTACCCTTCTCAGTTGAAATTGAAAAATCAAATTAACTTCTCCACATGTGTTTCGCAAGAGTAAAGGCCTCAACAGCAGAGAACAACGCTTAATTCAAATAACGCAACTTAATTATATTCTGGTTGGTCTTCTGTACTTTATAATTACAACCCGATTAAAACACAAAATTACATTTCTTAATTACTGCAGGTTCTCTGATTAGTCAAAACGATACAATTTACAACGCGCTAAAAAAAGATCTATCTCATCAGGAGACTTAGGAAACCCGATGCGGCTTTTAATTAATTTTATATTTTAACAACTTAAATGTAAAAATCTATTTTAATTAAGAAATAATTGTATTAAAAATTCATTTTTCATTGAAAAAATATTGTTTTCAGAAAATATTGTTTTCAGAAAATATTGTCCATATTCATAAAAGCAAATAAAAGCATTTGAAATTAAATAATATCTTTGTTTTATTGAGTTTTGTATGCTACAATTCAGAGCTGATTTTCAGGAAGGGGGGGTCCAATTAAAAACAAAAAAAAAACATGATTTGCATTCCTCAAAGCCTTGTGCTTTTAACTATTGTAATCACTAAACCTGACGCGATCGAATTTCTAGTGTTTTCATAAAATTAGTTGGGAGGGGGTAATAAATCTTAAAAAAATATTTCTGTAAAAAACAAAAAAAAAACAAACATATTTATAATAATTTTGATAATCTGTGAATAGTTTCTATAAGTTTCATTAACATCCGATAATTATTTTTATTTTTGCAAGAATTTCCAAATTAATGTGTGTCACACAAAAAAATGTGCTAAAAATTGTATGTTATTTTAATAGTTCCGGTGATACAAAGAGAAACAAGGTTTTTTTGTTTTTTTTTTAAAATCAAAATTTACAATGTTCTAAAAAGATGGAAAAATTTTAAAAAATAATTAAAATAAACTTTGATCTTTCCTCTTAATAATAATATAAACATTTAGACGATAAAATTTTGTTTTCATCAAATTTGGCGTCTTTTTCATCATGCTATGCTCTTTTTTTAGCGATCTCTTGGAGATACCTATGTTACATGTATATCTTGTTCGCCACATCACAATACAGGGTAAATGAAAACTAAATAGAGAATACTCAAAACCAGCTTTCAACTGCATATTTGTTTCTTGTTTTCAAAATAGCAGACACCAGGACCTTTTGTACATCCTTAATATTTTATGCAACAATCTTCTTTGTCAATGCATTTAACTCCAGAGTTCCTTATTGAATAATGTTCACTATCTGATCAATGAAAATTTCAGGTTAAAATTCAATTTAAAACTGTTTCAGGTGATCAACTTATTGATCCACTTTCATATAAAAGGAGTACCAATGATGTTTCTTTGGTGAAAAAATATTAACATTAATGTGAAAGAAAATCCTTGTTGGTGAAACAAGATCTATCCTTTCTTATACTGCCAATTTGAGTCACTGAAAGAAGCAAAAGATTAAGTATATGGAGTGATAAGATACAAGTAATAACCAATTACAAAGAGTGCCTAAAGGATTTATGTTTTGACAGCTTCAAAAACTTGCATGTTACATTATTAGCTCTTCATGCTAAAACTATACAAACTGGCAATAGTTTTTACAACATTCAAGCCAATGATATAAATTTCTATGATTTAAGATTTAAAAATGATTAATTTCAGTCCATCTTAGCTTTGTAGCTAAAAGTGACAGTAACCTTTATGCTTTGTTCCATATATATATGTTGCACAATAGACAAGAAATTTTCAACCTTTAAACAATTTTAAAAAGGTGAATGTTAAAAATAAGAGACCAGACTAGGTGGGCACATTCTATATGCTCAGTACAAAATCAATTCTTACAACTTTTATAAATATCAAATTATCTGGGCTTGAAATGTTCCAGAGTTCAAAGTTCAACTGTTACAGTTAAACCAGCCAAAAGATATTGGTCAATGTGTTAAGAACATTTAAATTTCTAATATAAAAATAATGACCATCAAATTTATGATAGGTCAAAATCAAAAAAGCTGTTATAAAAATCTTTGTTTAGCAAACTTATTAATATGGGCCTCCAAAATATTAATCATTAAAAAATAATGTTGAAAATAAATAGAAATTGGTACAGAATTAAAAGGACTTCTAAATAATTAAATATATAGTTAAGAAAAAAAAAGAAAATTATATATTTTAAACAAAAAAATGAAATAAAACAATGAACAGGACATATCCAAAATATAGAAATTCCTATGCACAGTGAATGCTCATATATCTCACTATTTTATAATCAAGAATAGAGGAATAAGGTTTTTGCAATCTATTATCATTAAGTTTTATAAGTTATATTTATCAAGAAATGAAAAGGAAAATGCTTTTAACAATGAAACCTATAAAAAAAATATTAAATCTATAAACCATATGTATATAAATATTTTGTGAGATAAATTTTAAAATAGGAAGCTTACTATTTTGCAGAATCATTCAATTGATATTCATTTGATCGTCCAAAACATTCTTGAACTCCTGTATCTGCCCAAAGTCGTTTCATAGCCTGTAAGAGTTCATCTGAAAAAGGTTCAGTGTCTTCCATTCTAGCTATGACATCTAAAACCATTTTAGCGTCACACTGAAAAGAACCAACAAAAATGGAAAGTGCATTTAGAAATACTGAAATACTATATAAACATATATATCTATTTTGGATGAAAGAGTGAAAGAAAAAAAATGTGAATTTTGCATAAAAATTGCTGATAGCATACATTTTATAAAGAAAAAGAAGTATTAAATTAAAATCATTAAACTGCAAACATTTTAAACTAAACCAAATGGAGAAAAATCTCGAATTTTTTTTTTAGTGAATCAGGGGGTGGGGAGCACTGTCCAAGACCAGTTCTTTTTAACTTTGTGGAAACAAGACAATTTCATAATCCATTAAATCTTCTAGAGAGTGACAATTTTGGTTTTACATGAAAGCAATCTGCAAGAAGAAAAACTGAATAAATTAGACTCATAAGCTGAAGAATGTATTGCTTATTGTGTGATTATATCAAAAACAAGATTTGGAACATTAATGACACAGTTATAAACACTGTAATAATGTTATTTTTTATATAAAACATTATTAAAATCATTCCAGAAAAAAAAAAAAACAAAACAAAAAAAAACAGCATTTCAATAAATGCATTTTTGAGTACAAAAGAGATGATAATGGTGTTTGTGTTATATTGCTTCACTAAAAATTAAAACTGGTTGTTAAGAGAGAGAAAAAAGACGAGAGAAAGAGAGAAAGAAAGAGAGAGAGAGAAAGAAAGAGAGAGAAAGAGAAGAAAAAAATGAAGAGACCAAACTTTTTCAGTATATGTTGAATAAAAATTGAAGGAAATATAAATAAATGGATGAGGATCATTCATTGATCACAAACTAGACAGTTTGTCAGATGAAGGACATAGATTTTTGTTTTTGTAAGAATCTTATGGTAAAGGAATCAAAAGAATTTAAGAGAAAAGATGTGAGCACTTTATATTTTTTTTTTTTTTTAACCAAGAAGGTTTGTTTCAAATAACAAAAAGGCAATTAGAATTTTTTTTTTTTTAAGTTCCACTCAAAAACCTGCTGGAAAAAAGAAAGTACTAGGCAAAAATTAGTCAAAACATAGTTTTGGATAGGTACCTTCACTTTTTTGCTAAAAAACAGAATAGCATGATGGAAAAGGCCCTAAACTTAAAATAAAGTTCTATTGCCAAAATGTTTTAAGACCAAAGTATTTTTTACTTTTAAAAAATTCTTTTAATCCTTTCTAACACATTCAAAATTTTCTTTTCATGCATCAACAGTGTAATAGAGCAGACTATGTAAATTTTAGCGCCTTTTTGTAAAATAATAGACTAATTTGGAAATTCTTGCAAAAATCAAATTTTGTCAGATTTTAATTAAACTTTCAGGACTTATTCACAAATGAATGAATTTATTTTTTAAATTATTACTTTGGGAAAATCTTGGTGTGTATATATATATATATATATATATATTTACATCTTTTATTCACCCCCACACTTAGTTTCATGAAATTTCTAGAAATTAAATTCTGACTGCAAAGTTTCTTTTATTACTTAAATGCAGGACTTCTTGAAGGATGTAAATCATCTACTTTTTTTTTTTTTTTAAACAGTTATTGCTTTCCTGAAAATCAGCTCTGAATAGTAAAATAAAAACTGCAATAAAAATATGGCACCATTTTTTTTAATTATAATAATTTATAAAGTTTCAAAAATCTTTTTAAAATTCTTCAAAAACTTTCACTGTGTTAGGTTATTAGGTTATGTGAAAATTGCAAAGCTTAATAAATCATGCACTAAAATTTTTAAAAATTTTAACTTTTTTTTTTTTTTTTTATATGTGTATAAATGTGCTCATTTTGAAAGTAAGGGTTACCATACATGACATTATCACAAAATGAGATTGATGACTATAGTAGATTTAAAAGTTAGCATTCCTAATTTTAGATTATGGAGAATATTTCCAACATTTTTAAGATTACTGAGTACTTAAAAATCATATAAAAAAAGTGTCACCTGTTATTTTTTTAAAATTATGTTTTAACAGATAAAGTCTCTACAGAACAACAATAAACAAGATGACACCTTTAGCAGCACTTGTTAAGTAATTTACGAGCAATGACAAGTATATAATCACTGCTAATGTTTGTTTTAAAAATCCAGTTCTGTTATTTTCAACTTGATATTGGTTTCAAATCAGATTAAATTAACTAATATTTCTCAAATAAAGTTTCAGAAAAGTATATTTTATTTTTGGAAAATTTTTTAATAGGTAAAATTACATTGCGGTGACAGATGACTAAAAAAAGGTGCTAGTCAGCTATTTATAGCCAATAAAAAAAAAAGAAAGGAATAAATTCTAATCAATATAATTTCTGTTTGAAATACACTACAAAGTATTTTGCTTACTGGAAATACTAAATTTAATACTTTATTTTTCAATCAGAGCTAAAAAAAATCGTCAAAGTTTTTTTAATTTTTAAAATTCATTTTAAACTTTAGGTATCACAAATTATCGTGGATTATTGGAAGTACCTACTTTTAAAGCACCTATAAAAGTGGAAAAATAAGACAAGTACGAGGCAAAATACATAGCCCTAATAAGAGTTTGAGGAATAATTAATATTGATTTGATTCATGATATTAGAGACTAATCCTAAGAAAATTGAAGCAAAGTATTTGTTATCTTTGGCAACTGTGTAAACTGCCTGATGGTTGTGTAACACATCTTACTAAGATAACGAAACTAGAAAGACTATGAAATGTATAATTTCATGAAATCTTTTAATTTAATAAGTTAAACAGAGTGTGCTAGGTATTTGAAAACATCTTTAATGGACCATAAATGGAAGATTACCTAATTTTACATGCCATGCACCAAAATTCAAGATTCTCATTTCTCTTCCAGACGCATTAAGAGCATTAACATGAGAGCTAACATAGTTAATGAAAAGCATGTTGGGCACAAGCCACCAACTACATATCAAGCATCTTTGAAAGTGGCCAGGTCCTTCATGATCAAGATCAGCAACAAGTTGGCATTTGGAGGCCAAGAGAAACATTCTAAAGGGTCAGATATTGTAAGGTTCATTCAGCATGTACAGGTCACCGACCTTGATCACATTAAGTCATTGAAAGGTGGCGGAGTCTGTTATTGATTGTATAATAGTGTGTGAGGACACCAGGTACAAGTCCTATGTAATGAAGCGAGGTTAGTTTATGTCTGACAAGGCTTAAGAAAACTAATCTGATTCTGCACAATCATATTACTCAAAACATGCAAGAGCCTAACTTTCTTGATTTGAATCTCCTACACTACAATAGCTGGGGTGTTGTTGAGGAATCCACCAGCAACCCTACAATACCAAAAGTCATTGAAGGCTGCGATTATGAACATTATAACCAACAAGAATGAGAAGCACATAATTCTGCTTCCAAGGTTGTATCAAGATCATCCTCATGGTGCAGGGCAGTTTTATTGATTAACTTTGTTTTTCTAGATTCAACATGTGTACAAAAAAAGAAAAAAAAGAAAAGATTTTTCTATATTTATAACTTTTTCTCAATTATCTAGTGCATGTTGTATCAATTAGGCAGCATATTTGTTTTGAAAATCAAACTGATTTTAATTGGTTATATATCAAAATGCAATAAAATATATAACAGAAATAAGTCTTCTGAATTATTTCTTGTAAACCTGAAATAATAAAATTTATTGTGATGGTTTTAGCTACTTTTATAGGTTCCAAAGTTAATATTTTTCAATAATAAATAACATGTAACAAAATATTCTCATTAAACATTAAAAATTAATGACAAGAATTTATAACAGCCACTACAAGACATTCTCATAAGTATTGGTAAAACTGCTACTTGTCAGTTATTGGAAAATCTAATTGTTCCTGTGTAAAGCAAAATGAATATTAATGTTTTAATTCTTTGGAGTCAGGAAATCTTGACTGAGCTTTGCGGTCTTGTATGGATAAAACAAACTATTTCAGCACCTTCCTAACTCTAAAAGAAGGCTGCAATTACATAATCATGCAAATAGATTTAACAACTTTGGTGTTTTTAAATACTTGGAAAGAGAGATCTTAGACTTTTCTAAAATAAATATAACCATATAAATGCTGTATTAAGTTCGAAGGAAAGTAATGAGCTTGCAATGATGAAGAGAGTTGTATGCTACTCTATCACTATAGTGGAAATAGGAAGAGCAATGACCACACTAACATGATTGCAGCAAGGCTAAGCAGTACACATTAATGAAACAGATCCTACATATCTTATCTCTAAAGAAGGAGGGAAAAATTGTAGAGGAGTTGAAAAGGCTAAGATGGAAGAGAAAAGAGGAAGTATGATTATCTTTGCTACAGCAGGCATCAGACACTGTCAGAAAAATTCAACCTAGTGTAAAGCATCAAACATCTCAAAAAAAAAAAAAAAAAAAAAAAAAAAATCATATTTTACCAGGAACAGATAAGAGTGAAAAAATACCACAATGCCATACCATTTCTAAATATAAGAGATCTTAGACTTGTCAATATCTCTCCCTCTTTAAGAGAATTTTCTCTCAAAGAGGGAGAGATATTGACAATTTTTGTGTTTCATTACTGGGGTAATATGGAAATATTCTCAACTGTTTTAGAAAAGCTTTTTCTTAAGCAAGCAGCCATGTAGATATTCCTATTACTTTTTTTAAGCAGCAGGGAACATACCACTCATATTTGATTAATGTTCATCAAGGTAAAGTGGGTCATAAGATTCTTAGAAAAAATACAGGACATTTTGATCTCTCTCAAATGAATTTAATTCATTATCTTACAGAAATTCATAACTGTTCTAAATAAAATACGGAAAAGATTTTCTTGAAGTTTTTAAGTCAACACAGGTTTTCTTTATCATATGCACAAATTAATCATACAAGTTAAAAGGATGTTACATAAATCATTGTATTAAAATTTCGCCAATTAACAAAAAATTACATCATTGACAATGCTAAATATTTTAATCCATGCTGTTTACTTGAATTAAATTCATAAATTCAAGTAAATTTAACTACTTTGGTGTT